TCAGTTATTACTTGGATGCGGTTGATGAGAGAGTAATTCATCCAGGCTTGTACTAAGCTCATCGAGTAATACCGGTAGCAACATTCTGATCGCTGATAGGGTAATCAACATATAATTGCATTCTGCAGACATTGTATCAGTTCCCGGTTAAAGCGACAAACGAAAAGTCGGCTAGTTAAAACTATGTTCCCACAATGCCGTGTTATCGAGAATGTCGTTCTCTAGACTTTGTGCTTGTAGGTACCTGTACATTTCCGACTTTTTCCATGATTTTCAACGTCCCTTGGTGCGACACTCCTTTGTTGTACCGACGTTTTAATGTAAAAACACACATCTTTTGGACGTCACCACCGCGTAATACAAAAAAGGCTGTAAATAAATCTTTCACTCTGGCTCGGTCTCATCTTCTGGTTTGGAGTGTCTTGAAATCATATCGGTCGGAACTAACTGTGTGAAACAAAACATTTTAGAAGCTTCAACAGCGTCTCTTGGCACTTCGCTCGATACCATCCTGTTCTGTTCAACGGATGGCTGTCAGACCGAACTGAACTGAAAACATTGGCGGATATTGGCTCTTCGACGCTCATTTCCTGATCACAAGAACACTGAACAACTGTGAGTTTGAGTCACACCTATTGTTTCATTTTAATTCCTAATGTACATACCATTTTGGCCTTCTCATCACCGCACGCTCCTCCGCCCATCTTAGTTTGCTAGTGTCGTCTTAGATATTGTTGACAATAGTTTCGTGTACCACATAGACAGAGTTGTACGCTACAAAATTGGTGAGCCCAGGTTATTTTTCCATCATTTGACACGAGCTTCATTCTTTTGGTCCAAGTTCCACACCATTCACCATGTCTGACAGCGAATCTATTGACATCCACGCGGTTGCTCTGAAACTGCCGGTTTTTGCCCCGACCAACCCTCGAGTGTGGTTTCGACAGATAGAAGCCGTATTTGCCACTCGACGTATAACCAGCGAGCGCGTGAAATACTCTCACGTTGTCCAAGCACTTCCCTTTGACATCGCCGTTGACGTGGAAGATCTCCTCGATCGAATTCCACCAGAAGCTCCTTACACGAAGCTTAAGGAAGCAGTCATTCAGCGTACCGGAAAATCAGCCGGAAAAATGCTCCGTGAACTGTTCACGTCGGAGACCAAACTCCGTCCCAGCTTATGCGTCACATGCGGTCGCTATTGGCTGGACGGCAAATGGACGACGCCATTTTCAGGGAGATATGGGTTGGTAAACTACCTCTCCCGATGCAGCAGGTCCTGTCAATGCTGGAACCCACTACTCCACTTGACAAAGTTGCACAGCACGCCGACAGAATAATGGAATGTTACCCGGCTGGTAGACCTTGCGTTCGCATGACATCACCCTCCGGAACCACTCCGACGCACGAATCCCCTACGACATTACCAGTTCCTGCCCCAGATCGCCGTGGTGACGTTTCTCGCAGTCCTGATTCCCCATCCCATCACTCGCATATCGATAAGGACATTACGTACCTAAAAGAAACCGTTCGCATGTTGTGCAATCAGGTCAGTGCAATGTGCAACGCAATAACTACTCATCGATCTGTATTCGCCGAAGTACCTCATCGACCTGGATCGCGGTCCAGAAACCGCCGATTACAAACCTGGTGTTGGTACCACCGCACTTTCGGCTCCAAGGCACGCCGCTGCGATCCTCCATGTTCATTCCGCACTTACACTCCACAGTCAAACCACCAGGCCAGCCAGTAACGGCGACGACTAGGGCTGGCCCTCCACATGAAAGTTGCCTATTTTATATCGTTGACCGATCCAGCGGTCATATATATATATATATATATATATATATATATATATATATATATATATATATATATATATATATATATATATATACTGTCCACAAATCATCGGTGGCAAAAGCTTGAATACCTGAAACGGATCACCTTCCTCTCACAGGTATGAAATCCAGAACAGTTTTTTGAAGCGAATCAGTACGAAGCCAATTGCAAGAACTGAACGGATAGAAGAGGGATACAAGTAAATTTGCGTGTACCGAACAGAAGACCTGTCAATTTATACCCTTGTCCAAAAAGAATGACCACGGTAAGACAGTTAATGTGTGCTTAAATGCCCTTTCGGATGGTCAATGCAACGACGGTAAACTTTACTGTCATTCAGAAAGTTTCATGCTTGAAAAGGCCAACACTCAGCAGCTCACAGAATTCAATTTACACTCAGCTCGCTCGACTCGTTTCGACTGATTCAGGTCAAGGGTACAATATCAAGTACCCTCCTCTCAGAGGTGGGACACTGGTCAAGTGAGATTCCGTACTGCAGCGAAAGCTTTTTAGGCACGTGCACGATATGTATGAGGAGAAATATCCAACACTTTATCTGTGGTTTGGTTGTAGCTATTCATCAAAAATGACTGCTCACTTGCAGCTCTATAAGTTTAAAGGCAACGCTCTAAATGCTCGAACTGTGACTAGACTCAGAAGGCCAATAACACAACTATTTTAATTACCACTGTTCAACCAAACGATGCTCAAGAATGCGATGGAAAACTTGTTTTTCCCACAACTATTTCAATATGTTTACCAGAAATCGACTGAATGGTTAAAAGAGGACGAATGTACAAAAGTATTCATTACATTTTATTCGCAAATCTAGTGTACTAAAGAACAACGGGCTGTCTCCGGGAGTTTTGTAATTCTATTTTGGCTACGATACCATTGTTAGCAGTTGGATCTCAGATTTTCGGCTTCAGTCAAAAACATCTGCAGATTTTCGAACCAAAATATCGATCAGTGAAATCGATATTTAGGAGTCCTCATAATTTCAGGTGGAAAATGTCATCCGCGAAGTGAACATACAAATATACGGCCTAAATCCAACGACATTGTAAAGGGACTTTCAACCTATATTCGGTCGCACTTTGTGACTAGGTCGGACAACCCGAGGCAACCTGCGCACTTCGGTATGAACCAAGGACATCTACGGTAATGCAAGGCTCGTCTGAAAGCTTCCCAAAGTTTATAGTAAGTAGCAAAGATGAAATGTCCTCGACGGTTTTCTTTGATTTTCTATTCGTCAGAGATTTTTATTTAACATCCGCTGATAATATGTGAACTCTATCAGTTTAAACCAATGAGTAACTTATCAGATGTGATGAGATACACATTTAGTGACCCCATTCTTGAACGCAATTCACTTCTTAGCTCGTTATGACAAATTGTCCCCGTTGATAAGAAAGTAGCATGGATAATTACAGCAGTGACATTGCCTTGTTCGTTTATAGCCTTTCCAAAAATTTCATTGTGGCGGGATCGGTTTGGTGTCCTTGTGGACTCAGTATTTAAATTTATCCGAATTTGTTTGCTGTATGGAAACGTCTCCCTAAATAGCGCTTCTGATCCTAGTGCTTTATTCCTCCATTCTGAATGTTATCGTAAGCACAACTATTTCAAAAAATCACTGCACCTATTTAGCACGTAAACATGCCTGTACCCTGATGAATCTAGATAAGTTGTTGTACGAATGGCACAACTTAGGCTTGTCATCGAATAAGATGTGAAGATTCTTCGTAAACAGCGTTTTATGGAATATTGTTCATGGCCTCTAGAGTAAACCGCACCTTCAAATCGGCGAAATTACTATTTACTTGAATACTTTTGAATTACTACTGCAAAGAAGTTTATTTCTGATTATCGAAGCGGTTTACGAACGAAACGTTTTGGTCAGCAATTTCATCCAAATAATTCTACAACACCTGTGAATATTTTGCAGAAATCCTTCGTTTCTTACCAACCTTTATCTCTAGCGGACGGAAGCTTGCAGATAAATAAACCCATAAGTTTTATTTGTATCTTGCTCTTGAAAGAAACATCAGTTCGCCTATAAGGGATTTCGAAAACAATTCCATCTTGATCGGTTTGCCTTCTTATCTAACCTACCTAATAGCTGGTTACCTTCCATCAAAAGATGATACTTTAGAACTGGTTTACAGCCGGAATGCTTTTGTTGGCCTTCCCTTCCATTGCTATCCGTTGCATATTAGTGCGCAGTATCTCACGTCTCAGGAACACACCTGACCCAAAAAGGGTCGATAAACTAGTTCAACTCCATGGAACCCATCCCGATGATAAATTTTGGTTACTTGGGAAAAAGAATTTTCCGACATTAGTTTTACTTCCCCTAAGATGCACCATCACTTTTGAATGACTCCTGAGAACTTTTAAAATACAGACTGGTCACGAAATAAAGTTGTTTATTTATACACATTTATAGCACACTAGTTTGAGTTGCATCGTTATAAATTCAGAATCGTAAGCTACACTCAATTATTCGGTTATGGTTGGTGACTGCGATCAGTATTTTTCATTGCATGACCGAATGGTCACATCCAAATTTCAATCAAATACATTGGATATGTTACCGTCGCTAGAATGTAAACCTACAGGGGCTAGTTCCCCTGGTAAACACAAGTAGTACATGATATCGAGTCCAGCCAAGTCATTCTATGCAGAGAGTGTAATCTTATTTATCTTTCAAAGTTCCAGCAACCCCATTATCAATATTACTCGTTTCACAAACAAATCTGAAAATAAAACTATCTACTGTGTACTTGTTCTTTTGGACATTGGAGTATTGCAACCAGAAGGAAAATGGGTGGCTTCAGTCAATTTCGACTTTATTTATTTCCCCTGGACCCGGCTACATCATAAGTGTTTGTTTTCTTGAGCTACCGTTTGACCTACTCATGGATCGATTCGAATTCTGCCTAAATCACCAGCCAATACAAATTAGTAAGTTCGGACATTAGGGGGAAGTGTAGATTGCTCATTAGATAGTAAAATATCAGCTTGCAGACCATGTACTCGCGAGATAATGAGAAACGGAATTGAATATTACATGATCGATGTGGGTTACGATAACGAGAACATCGTTAGAGCGTTAATCCGCAAGTAAGCTCTGTTTGTTCTATGTCAGTGTGCCATCAGAAGACGAGAGATTGCGCAGAGAGCAACAAAATCCAACCTCTGGCGCGAATCAAAGAATGCGTTGAACTACCTGTAAGGCAACAAAGATCAGGTTTAATTCTAAAATAACTCATAGTACGATGGACACGAATGGACAACATAGGGAGATATGTTACTAAATAGGATGGTTTATACCGGCAAAAGTTTGAAGTATATACTAGGATGGCATAAACAAGGGTACTTACCTGATGTTGACTTTGTGGTCAAGCTTTCAATGGCTGGAGTTCCTGATGTGCTCTGAGACGCTTGTTGGTCTGGATTAGTCATGGAGTGCAAAAGTGTTGAAAAATGCATTACGCACACTGACAAGGAAACGGTTAGACTTCGGATCAGATGAATATCTGCATACATAAATCAAGATTGTGGTGGTATGGGCTGATTCATTGTCGAGAAACAGCCAGGTCATGTTAGCAGTTAGAGCAGGGCAAAACCCAAGGCTTTAGATTACGAAAACTCAAATGACGGGAGAGCTGATTGATGGCGTCGATCGACAGAATTAATGGTCCATTCTGTCAGTGGTGTTCAGGCCTCAACGCTCGGTTGCCTATGCCAGCCGGACCAAAACGTTGAATACAACGAATGAGTATATGAACCAGAATAAAATATATTCATTGTGCTTTACACTAATTACCGAAACGATTTAGGGACCGGAAAGTGTTTCCGCTAGAGGTAACAGGATATTGCAAAAAGAAGGAAAGAGTGGTTCGGCAGGTTTATATATTTATATATATATATATATATATATATATATATATATATATGTATATATATATATTAGCAACCTAAAGGTGAAAACAGGAATATATAAATGATACGTAGGCCGTTAGAGGGTGTTTCCCTATCTTGAATAATGGCAGGGACTAGATGAATATCAGGACATAGATGGGTCAGCAGACCGAAGGGAATAAGGCCATGTGTGGTCAAGAAGGAGTTCATTCAATGAACTCACCTTTGGTGGTCATCGAACTTGTAGATTTCGAGGAAGTTGTTCCCGTTGATTCAGTCGTTGAAGTGCTGGAGCTCTGGCCTTTTATTTCCAAATATGAAAGAAGTGTTTATTTCTGACCCAGAGGAAAAACTCGCAAATAATTTGGTTCATCGAAAAAGTAATTTTACGGTTAGCCAGTTATTTTGATTCCGTAACAAAATCAACAATTCAAATGGGCTGGTCAATTTTGTGCGTATCTCTAAACGAATATATGGGCAGACAGAGCCCTTTTACTTCCGCTTTATAAACTGCTCTGTCTCATTGGTCCTCTATTTCATGCTTATCGTATTCCGAGCTGCTCAAGATATCCATCGGGTTGAATGACATAAGTGCATGGGAGGCTTTTCCGATAAAATTTGTAGAAAGAAAGAGGATTATGAGAACCCAATCATTCAGTATGCTTTTATCGTATGTATAATTTGTGGGGATAGAGACTCCCGGAAATAATCAGCTGCGAAGCATATTTATCTATCACTGAGGGACAACAAATGGTAAGGAGACCCAGATAAGCACAACATATTGGAAAGAGCAATTTTTGTTTAAACGTGAGGGAAAAAAGAAGGGCAGAAAGGACAGTAGACAGATGGACAGATATAAAGGTGGATGGATAGATAGATAGATATATAGATAGACAGATAGATAGAAATTTAGAGAGATAGATAACGGAGAGATAGATAGATAGACAGATAGATAGATAGATAGATAGATAGATAGATCACGGATAGATAGATAGATAGATAGATAGATAGATAGATAGATAGACAGATCACGGATAGATAGATAGATAGATAGATCACGGATAGATCACGGATATATAGATAGATAGATAGATCACGGATAGATAGATAGATAGATAGATAGATAGATAGATAGATAGATAGATAGACAGATCACGGATAGATAGATAGATAGATAGATAGATAGATAGATCACGGATAGATATATAGATAGATAGATAGATAGATAGATAGATAGATAGATAGATAGATAGATAGATAGATAGATAGATAGATAGATAGATAAATAGATAGATAGATAGAGAGATAGATAGATAGATAGATAGATAGATAGATAGATAGATAGATAGATAGATAGATAGATAGATAGATAGATAGATAGATAGATAGATAGATAGATAGATAGATAGATAGATAGATAGATAGATAGATAGATAGATAGATAGATAGATAGATAGATAGATAGATAAATAGATAGATAGATAGAGAGATAGATAGATAGATAGATAGATAGATAGATAGATAGATAGATAGATAGATAGATAGAGAGATAGATAGATAGATAGATAGATAGATAGATAGATAGATAGATAGATAGATAGATAGATAGATAGATAGATAGATAGATAGATAGATAGATAGATAGATAGATAGATAGATAGATAGATAGATAGATAGATAGATAGATAGACAGATCACGGATAGATAGATAGATAGATAGATAGATAGGACGGAACGGTAGTTTGATTTGGTGTACAGACATAGGCCCGCGGTAACGCTTACACTATAAGGCTTATATTCTGGCCGGTAAGTTTTTTGTGGCATAATATAACTAATTTCAATTGACTCTTCAGTTTTGTGTGAACTTCCGACTGGATACGCACTCAATCATTTTATTTTTGTTTTATCATTTCAACCTGGCTCCATGATTCCCTGTCATGTTGACCACAATAAACGCTACCACAATTTATCGTGGGATTGAAGGATACAAATGTTAGGAAATTGTCTTTAATAATTTGGTGTCAGATGAGAACAAACAGTGTGCGTTTGATTCATTTAGTTCGATTTTTACCAAAGCACAGCTTGCTGACATTTTCCATCCAAGATAATAATCACTGCATTGCTCATTCAGTTTCTACTGAGATATGAAATACAGACAATAAATACGAGGGATGCTATTTCATTTGGTGACACGAAGCACTAATAAACATTTAAATCAATAAATAGTTGTATAAATAGAAGTGAACGTTAGGGCAATAAATTGCGATACATTTTGATGAATTCATTGTCTAAAGCAGTGAAACGGATCCTTTCAATATGTAACTTCGTCTTGACCCGATTCGTAGATACCTCAGTTTTGCCGAACTCTTTCCTTATTTCCAAAATCTGTATCTCTTAGTCAATATAATTTCAATACGAATGACATTGATCTTCCTTGTCGAGCTATACTCTATCTCTTTGTGTATTTGGGTTGCTAGTTCCCTACAAAACTAGTCATTTCGGAGCTGTGAACTAAGAGGATGGATAGATGTTGACGAACATCTTTATCAGTTCGATTTGTCATTCTCATGCAACCATTAGATGTTCAGATCTCATATATATATATATATATATACCTATATATATATATATATATATATATATATATATATATATGTATGTATATATACCATGTTTCTGAGTTTCTTTTTCACTGTATTTTGAATGATATATATTGGCGCGCTTGGCTGTGACCCGCAGCAGTTCCTATTCCGACAATGGTGGCGCTGAAACTAGTTCTAAGCAACGTACGATATTAATCAACCGAGCTGAATGACATGTATGAATACATAAGCAGGATCGAAACTTTTACAATGAAGACCAAATGTTTTCCGATATTGTCGGGTGAAATTGAAACTCACCGTTTCCATATACACAGTTGATCAGCAACACTAATAACAAAGTAGTGAGGGTTCTCATAGTTGAAGTGTTCCTTCAGTTGTTCAAGAAAGGTGGAGAAAAACAAGAATCCAACTAGACTCCACCTGTTCGTCGCTATTCACCCTCTGTTTATATACAGACTACAACAAAAGCCTACTTTTTTCTATGGGCACCTTGGATGACATGATATGACTTCTAAATAAGAGTATGTTTGTCTTCCATCTAGTGCGGCAGAAACTGTCACTACACAAACAACTTCCATATTATCAGTTGTTGTCAAAACATGGAAATATGGGTAGGACTCGTCGAATATCATTGTAGTCACACGTTTTCCGAGACTGACAATTTATAAACGAATTCAGCAATATTATCTGAGGTGTAATCATCATGAAAATCACAAGAGTTAACTCCTGATTTCGTCTGCCACACTTGAAGCGAGATTCAAGACAAAAATTACTGAATCAAGTTGGAACAATCAATAAAGCTCTGAGTTTTTTTTAACAGCGTGATATATTTTCCATTCATTCAGCTCAGTTAGGAAGTTGTCCGTATTTTTCAATATTGTTTCATTTCTGTGTGCCTCATTCCAGCAGTACTTGGAAGGAAACGGTTGTAAATTCTAGACCATATTGATCGGTACTTAGATCTATGTGACTTTGAGGGACATCATGGAAAACGTGATGAGAAAGAGGGTTGCGAGCAATTTCCAAAGGACCTCGCTAGAATCGATCGATGAAATTTATCAAAACAAAATATTATCCAATATGTTCTAATTTCCGGTGAAACCAATCATAATACTGGTTCGAAATAGCTCAGTGAACCAATATGATTGATAATTCGTCTTTTCTGTTACTCTCGTCATTCGAACGATATTCCCAAAGATAATATCGACGGTGATTCATTCGGAAATTTATTCAGTATGTCATTCGAGCTCTGTGATTTTATTTAGGTAAATCAGTCCAATGAATAGTGGTACTAATTTGTTCAAAAGTTCCTCGTATTTCCTCCGAACATTTGCAGTGCCATAAGTGGCTGAATGTGTGTGACCTTGGTTACCAGAGTGGAAGGCCGACCTCAAAGTAAACCAGATTTTGACAGAATATCGAAATATAATTAAGTTGATCCACAGAGTCATACAAAATATTCTAAGTTATTTTCGATAGCGTTGTGTCTGGATGACAGGACAAAATTCCCCCGGAAGCACACGACCGGTTTCGCGGTTATGGCCGATCATCAGGTATGCGTACCCGGTACTCTTCCGCCCAATCATCCCCATACTTGAGCACTCCACAGTTGGTTTACAGCAGTAACCTCAATGGAATCGAATGGAGCGTGCACAAACGGGGAGTCCATTTTTAGAATCACACGGTGATTCTTCCAAAGATATTTCGTCGGTTATCACGAAAACACATGGTCCCGCGTTTCATTTTTGATATGAGTATTATGGCATTGTTTCGTGTGCTTCCCGGGAAATGTTGTCCTGTCATCCAAATACAATGCCGTGCTACTTATATCGAAAATCCATACTTGGGACCATGTGTCCTCGTTCTGGAGGTTAGCCGTGTTAACCGACGAGTTAACTTTGTATGAATCATCGTGTGATTCTAAAAATGAACTCCCCGTTCATGCAAGCTCCATTTGATTCAGATGAGATTATATCTGTAAATTCTGGGTTATATTCGGGCGAGTCTGCTACCAAATTATTTTGGATGAAGCCATTTTTTCGACCGTTTAAGTTTTATTGGTTGTGTCCAGATAAGGAGATCGGAGAAACATGTTTCACTAACCAGGATTTCCATGTTACATGTGCTTCAAATCTGCTTTCTAACGAGGATTGTCGAACTTTTATTAAAAACGGAATTCAACTTCGTGTCAGTATGAGAGCTGGCTCCAAGGTATTTTGAGCGCGTCTGGTTTATCGCTTATATTATCATCGCGATAGCGATGAAAAAATCCACTGAAACAGAATTTGCTTGGCATCCGCACGTAGGCTTTTTAGAATGAATCTTCGGTGAAATATCTCGCGCAATATTTTGGTGCAAACAGAAGAATCCTTGTCGGATAAAATACAGAAAACACCACAAACGCACATTTCAGCAAAAAAGGCCTAGAGAGTTTCAGGAACAGGACAATATTATGTGCTCAACCATAAGGACCTGTTCTGGGAGCCTTTGTCTTTCATCCAGCTCGAGAATAATGATCTAGACTTTAACCCCTAATTGGAATTAAGTGAGCGGCTATTTTCATTGCGGACAGTATCACGGGATAAGAAGGCTAAATTGCAAGCCCGGCAACGGAGTTCACAATACAACTTCGTCACGGGATTTAAATCAATAATCCTGTTAGTGTGGTGATGAGTTTACTTTCCATTTGAGCATTTGGTGTATGTTGAGCCATGGAAGTCCCAGAAAAACTCATTCGTATCAGGATTTTCTCCCAAAACACTATCCTGTCGGATGCTGATATATAACGTAAACCAGCATTTCTGATCTAGACCGGAATAAAACGTGGTTAGGTTTGCTGCTGTACTTCAGTTTGAGGCGTACTGAATGGTAGAGGAATCATCACCATTGTGACTGGAAAACTTAACGAATTCAGTAAAAAACCACACCAGTTGATATTTGCTTTCAGGATAATGCTTCACATTATGTACCTCAAGGGGTTCAGATAAATGCACGCAAAAGGATTTCTCGGTTCACTTTCCACCATATGACTTGTAAAAACAAGCAAAACTTTCAAGACCCAGTTCACACAATTTCGCTCTGGTGTCGCAGATTTAGACGTACTCATAAAAAATCATCTGGTATGAAGTTAGTAGTCAAAAGGAAACCTACACTCTGGACACTGGAGTCAAGAAACTGATAAGTGGTGGAAAAAACAGGAAAATATTTCATCACCAACATGGTGTTTTATAAGCCGATGGGACTGAAAATCGTAAACAGTGAGAGCAGACCGGATGCGTAATTTTCGGTACACACATTGTTTTGTTTCAATGTAAAATTGTTTCGTTCCTTTTCCCCCCATAGGTTCAAATTTCATCATAATTGCGGTATCCGGTATTGACGAAACTAAAACTTTTTCTGCACTGTCAGGATACTTGTTTACCACAGGCAAGCAAACCACAAGGATAATGGCCTTGAAGCCTCAAATATATACTTGATAGTTACTGTACAAATAATACTATATATTTCTGTGACAATGCTCCCGTGCTCGAGCATGAAATGAGCTCACGAGACACACATGTGCATCATTATTGATAACACAAAGTCTGTTTGTTTTATCAGAATTGTTTGTCACGTTTCTGACTAACACAGGGGAGCAAAAATGAAGCGAACATACGCTGATAATACAGTGTTGACTAATAAATAAAGACCCAACTAAAGGTAAATTGTAGCACCACGAGGGAAAACGTTTCGGCCTAATTTGCATGTGACCTGGATGCGAGCACCTCGTTTTCAGTACTTTGAAAACAATGAGCTGTAAACTGAGAATTTCCATTGCTTTAATAAAGAGGATTGGAATGACGTTGTGCGAGTCTATGGAACACTAACTCTTGCGGAGAAAATATCCCGTATTCTCCTTGTGATTGACAACGTGTCATTTCACGTAATTCTTGTAAAATACAATGTCACTACAAGAGGTGGTATGGGATAAACTAAGATATCGATTTGTAGTTTGATTGTATTTTAGGCTTTACCCTTCACACACAAATGTCAGATCATCCGACCACAAGGCACCATCTGACTCATATTTTAAACCGTTTCGTATCTGGTATATATATGTATGCATATACTTGCTCCAAAGGCGGAACAGTTTGCCATGAGCATGCCGTGGCCCATTCTGTGGAGAAGCCCTGATTTAGTGGGTGGCAGTCGCTTGAAGGTAACGGGACCGATAACGTTTCTCGATTCGAAGCTGAGGGGCCATCCTGATTGTCGTAGATGATGATATATAAATAAGCCTAACTCGGTGATTAGGATCAGCCTGGATGGATGCTGCATGTTGAAGTGACTCGTTCTAGTTGAACAGACTTGGGTTGAAAAGCTGCGTGCGGCCGGGATATGCTACACTTACGAACTCCGACAGGAGCAAAACTCCAGTCTGATGCTTATGCGTGCAGGATGGTTGGACGACCTGAGATTCGTGCGTGAAACGTAGAGTTCAAAGGACAGTCAGCCAACGGAGTACCTTCAAACCCACAGACTACTAGCGAATCATTGTGACATACATGATATATTTTACTCAGACAAAGGTGGTACACACATCAGGATGAAAACCTGACCTAAACCTGAACTGAGACATGCGCTTTTGGAAACAAGCTAGGAGAGAAATCAATTTGATTAGCTGTAGGCCGAAGGGGACGCCAGTTTTTCTACGATCAACAAAGGCGTCTACGTTCCGCACTCAAATTTTAATCTGATTTGCATTGCAAATCGTCATGAACAGCGATTTTCCTGAACAACCTGGCCTGAAAACTGTGGGGTTTACGTAAACGTCCTCCATTAAAAAAGAAATTTCCGAAAGAAACTCCTTGTGGATGAGTTTGAGGTCACAAAACTCACTAGGCTGGTTAACGCGAAACACAGAAAGCACGATCAGCCTTGTCGATGGAATATACTTTAGGATAATCTGAATAAAGTAGAATTGGACTTCCTTGAACAATTAATACCCCGTGTCTGTCACAATAGAAAATTCATTAAGAAATCTGTCTCCTTGATGAGCCGAGCCGTGTTTCACACAAGATTGAACATCTTATAGATGAAAACGAATCTATGTATTTGCGATTAGGTTTGAGAGTGGCAAGACGAACTTGAAAACCTGACTACTTGAATTTTATCGTTTTTTGCTACAAGTCCTTATTTCACTGAGGTAATTAATTAGTCCTTGCGTGCTAAACTAAACGATCGTAAGTTTTCCAATGTAACCTAGAAATTTCACGAGGGTGCACTCTTGTTTTTTCACAATTGAGTTCCAAGAAGCCCTCATTTCCAGGGAACCTCGACAACTCCTGTATGTGAAGTACGGAATAAACGGAACAA